GTTTTGCATTAAATTCTCTATTGAGAAATCATCCATTGAGTGTGTTAAATCGTTGTTGAAAAGCTGCTGTATTTCCTAATTGCTTTAATTTTATTCTAGGATTAAAGTCTTTATAAGTCTTTTTACGGCACATATTATAAACAAATGTGTTTCCAGATCAATCCCATGAATTCTATGTATCCAACATGGGAATGTGGAATTAGTTTTCAGTTAATAATACGTTACTTTGAGTTCTAATGTAACATCTAGAATCTTATATATATAAACATAAAACAGTATTTCTCTCGGACATCTTAACTTAATAAGCTTGTAGAGTTGTCAAATAAGTACCGTGACATGTCCTATAATACATTTTTTTTCGTTCTTTAACAACATGGTTGACAAACAGAGACTTTCTTTCTTTATTACTTATCTATTTGTCTATTTACGTTTGATTGACGTGTGGTGGTTTAGTTACATAGGTGTATTGACTAAAGAAACTACACATAGTTTTCCTTTACGACAGTCTTTTTATGTTTTCAAGTCATTATGCTGCTTATGATAGTTACTCTCATTTTGATTTTGTTTGTCACATACAAATTATATGAGCGTTTCTTTCCGGCATCATGGGGTGATCCAAACGGAAAATATGTGCTAATAAGTGGCTGTGATACCGGTTTCGGAAATGGACTTGCAAAAGAATTAGATTGCCAAGGCTATAACGTAATAGCAGGAGTTTATTCGAATAATACAATAGAACAGCTCGGTAAAGAATTATCATCTAAAGCAACAGTGTTCAAATTAGATATAACGAAACAGCAGGATATTGATGGTGCCTTCGAATTAGTTAAAAGTAAAACAGATAATTTACACGCGTTAGTTAACAATGCTGGTGTAGGCAGAGGTGGACTGATCGACTGGACACCTCTGACGTTGTATCGCGATGTAATGGAAGTGAATTTTTTTGGACATGTCTCAATGACAAAAACTTTTCTCCCATTATTATTGAGACAACCCGGTAATCGAATTGTGAATATTTCCTCTATCGCTGGTTACTTTGCTTCGCCTGCTGTATCAGCATATTGTGCGAGTAAGTACGCGTTAGAGGCTTTCTCCGATTGTTTACGTCGAGAAATGGCACAGTGGGGATTAAAGGTGTCTGTCATCGAACCGGGATTAATGAGAACAGCAATTTTTGAAGGAAAAGAAGAAGCGCTGTCTCAATTATGGACTAATTTAACTAGTGACACGAAAGAACGATGGGGTGAAGCGTTTTTCGACCAACATATGAAGCGCATGAATGACTTCATGAAGAATACACAAGATCCGATGATTGTCGTTCGCGCGTTACAACATGCTGTGTCAAGCTCTAAGCCAAACTTTCGCTTTAGGCCATGATGGCAATCAGCCTTGATGTTTCCATTATCTATGATGCCCGCGTGGTTTGCTGACATGTTGATGGCTTTGGGAGATGGTACACTCGAGAAACCAGTCGGTGTGTTAAAACAAAGGGGTTGACGGAAAACGTCGAAAGGAAAAATGTCGAAAAGGAAAATGTCGATAAAAAAAAAGCAAAACGTCGAAGAGGAAAATGTAGAAGAGCAAAATGCCGAAAAGGCAAACGTCGAAAGGGATAATGGAAGAAGGAAAATATTGAAAGGAAAACGCCGAAAAAGAGGAGATTTCTTTCTGTTCCTTTGAAAATCACTGAAAGAAATATTTTATTAAACTACATGGAGAAAGAGAGTAGAAGAGAAATGATAGGGCCAATAGATCGTGAACTAACTTTTCGTTTATCCTGATCAAGAACGATAATCCAGCCAGTAGCTGTTTTGCATTAAATTCTCTATTGAGAAATCATCCATTGAGTGTGTTAAATCGTTGTTGAAAAGCTGCTGTATTTCCTAATTGCTTTGGGGCTGATGTCCCCGGTGGGGTGAGGGTGATGCATTTATCGTAGCAGCCGTACTGAACTTCATCATACTTTACTTTTTCGACGAGTGGCTATAATTACTACGAGGT